TGTCCCTGCAGTAGGGAGTCCAGACTTCACCACACTAAGCCACATGAAACTGAGGGCAGGCTGGCAGAGGGAGAAAAGGAGTCTTACTTAAAAGAAACTAAAGAAGAGAGACTCCTAGACCTAAAGAGATGAGGGTTGAAAGGTGCAGACTCAGAGGGAGCCCAGACACTGGGAAGAAGAACATGGAGAGCAGGCAGTGGCGGGTAAGGGTGGTGAACAGGCAGCAGCAAGGACTCCTCCAGGAAAAAACCCAGTGACTGCCTCCTTCCCCTCCCTTCCCAGTCTCTCCTCCTCCGGCTCCGGCTCCAGCTCCAGGCCGACACAAACGGGGCTTTGATTGCAACAGGAAACCTCTGGCGGGGGGGAGCCGGGCAAGCGCCGCTGCTGGGGCCCAGGCTGCACCCCCCTCTTCTGGCCCCCTACCCAGTCCCAGCCCCCATCCTGCCCAGCGCTCCTCACATCCTCGCTTTGGGTCCCATTCCTTATTCACACCTCCATATCACCCCCTCCTCTGCGTCCCCTCGGAGACCCCCTCCCATTGCCCTTCAGGTGGGACTCCTCAGTTAGAACTTACCCCTCTGGGCGGGGCCTGCTTCACTTTGAAATGCCCCTTCAGTTTTTTTGAGGGAGGGTTTTGGAAAAAAAGGAGAATTTAGCATGAGGAAGTCTGAGCCAGTTATCCTCAGCCCTCATCCAGAAGGTGGCAGGAGGAGGGAGGGGAGGAGAAACGTATAAGGAATTAGCCATCCTGGGTACCCCCTAATCCTGGCCAAACTCATCCTTCCCAGGGGTGATAGGGCTCTGAAGGGAGACTGGTTGAGTCTGAAAGTCAGTCGTCTTGTTAATGGGGGCGGAGTACACTCCTCCTGTCTCTGGGGCTGTGCCTTTGTGGGGCTCTAACTGGGAGGGGATGTGTCCTGGTGATGGGGATCATAGGAAAGGGGGTGAGTCAGGCAGCAACCCCCCCACTCCCACCAGGCTGGCGGAGAACATCTGGTTCCCATGAAATGCTAGAAGGCTAATGGGTCTAATTGCTGCAATAAGGGCTAGGGAGACTTTGGGGAAAAGAGGGGGCACTAGATCCCCCCATCTTCTACCCAAGGCTGTACTAAGTCTGACTAGAATGGGGGGTTGTGGATGATGGGAAGAGTGGACCTGACACTAATGCCTGGTCCTAAGGCCCCTTCTCCCTACAATGCCTAGGAAACACAGATGGGGTAATGAAGAGTGGGGTGCATCTGGTAAAGAGAAAAGGGAGCTATTGAGGACTCAGGCTTCCTGGAGCCCTCCCCCCCCCACTCCTGTGCCCTCCTCCCAACCCCCCTCCCTGTGGCCTGGCCACTTCTGGTTCTAATTACCAACCAGGCAGGCCTGACTTAATTGGGACCTTTCAGATTTTGGAGGAGGAAGGGGGGGGGCACTGACAGCTTGAAGTTGACTAATCAGGGTTCTTTCCCCCCTTTTGGGGAGTACTCCCCATTTTGTCCTTTTTTTGGTCGCTGGCCATATTCTAATTCAGAAACCGAGCTCCCTGTTTTTCTTTATATTTTGGAGGGGGAGCAGCAGTTTTCAGAAATGGGGTATTTGAGGTTGGGGTGTGAGGGGTAGGTAGCTCACACTGGGTTGAAAGAGCCCTGCATTCCCTCTCCCTCCCTAGTCAGCCCTGTCACCCCAGCCCCCCGCCCTGCAATTCAGGCCCTACTTCCCAGCCCTGCCCCCCTCCCTAATTACATTCCCATTGTTGTGGAACCAATCTCCAGAATGCTATACCTACTAAACTGATTCTTCATTTTCCCAACCCCCCCAGTCCCTGGCAGCCACCCGGGCTCCTCCTCTGCTCCCGCCTTCCCTGCCTACTCTGGCACCCCTTCCAGCTCTTTATTCTTCCAACAGGCGCCCCACTCCTGCAGCACTCCAGTGCGCCCCCCATCCGGTACAACAGATTCTTAGAAAAGCGCGCCCCACCCTGGCCCAACCACAGCCGCCAGGCGGGGGAAAGGGTCGGGCCGGGCGCCGCTGCTGCTCCCCCGGCGCTCCCCGTGAGAGCGGCGCTGACAGAGCCGGCTAGGCCGGGCGGCCGGGTGGCCGGCGGGCGAGGCGAGGGGGAGGGGTCGGTTTCCGGGAGTCACCGCCGCTAGTGCTGTCCCGGGGCCAGGGTTCCAGATTCGGTCCGGCCGGGCATGGGCGAACTTCTGACGTGGCCAGCCCCCCTCCTTCGCTCCCTTCTCTTCGGGCGAGGGCGCCCACAGGGCCAAAAGGGGCCACCAAAGGAACAGCGAGGGGGCCCTTGGAGCCCAGAGGGGCACTCTGTGGCACTAGGGGAGAGCAGGGGGCAGTTACTACCTACGGTGGGGGTACAGGGGTATAAAACGACTCTGGGCACAATTAACGACCAGCAGCAGCGCGATTATGGCCGAGGGGGGCCACTTGGCACTACAGAAACTCCAGGGAAAAGGAGTTGACATTCTGGGGGCAGTTTTGTCGGAGGCGCAATCGGCACAGCAAGGACAGTTTGTGGGGCGTGCTTTAAAAGTGAGGTTAGGTTCGAGGAGACGCCAAGGAGAGAAGCAGTCGAGGCGCTCGGGGAGTGTCGGTCGCAGATGGGGCTTCGGAGACTTGGACCACGGCGGCCCCGGACGCGGCGGAGGGCGGACACCCCGGCTAGGAGGGGTAGACTCTCTGTGGCGCTGAAGGGGGCGGGGGACTCCGCTGCTGCGCGGGCGACGGCCTGGGCGGGGTGGGGCGGGGCCGGGTCAGGCGGAGGTGAGCGCGCCCGGCCACCCGCCCCGAGGGGGGTTCCCGGAGAGTTCACGGCGGGAGCGCGCTCCGGCCCTTGGACCGGGGGCGGAGAGAACGGGAAGGAAGGAGGAGGCTGCTCCGGCCGAGCCACAGGAATGTAGTGTTCGGCCCTGAAGCGCGCGCGCGGAGGGAGAGGGAGGAGCCAGGCCTGGGAATGAAGGGGGTGGAGATAGTGTCTCTGCAGATCTGCAGCTCTCGGGTACCTCCACGTTCCCCTCTCCCCAGTCCCCTTTAACACCCCTCCCTGTGTTGATTTGTGTGAAAAAGGAAAGGTCGAGGGGAGGAAGAAAACTCTACGAAAGGAAATGCGTTCCTTAGTTCCTCCGCTCCTTCCTCCAACCCTGGACCTGGGCACGCGCCTAAGGGCAAGTGCGTGCAAAGCCTCCGGGCTGTGGCGAGAGAATGCTTGCAGGCATTTTCCCGAGCCCAGGTGCGTTTGCACGAACAGGCGCGCACCATGAATTTATGTGCATGCAGGCATGCATGTGCACTATTGCATATTTACAAATGCGTGGTGCCAAGATAAATGCATGCATGGTAGTATGTCCAGGCAAGCAAGCGCGCCGTGCCGCGAGCGTAGGTTTGTGTTTGTGTGTGCGCTTCACTCCCCGCTCTGCTCATCTTGGTGCCCGGCCCCCTTCGCTCTCCAAGCCCCACCCCCCTCCCCTCCAGGCTTCGCTTTTACAAAAGGTCTCCCCGGTGCTAGCTGCGGAGGCGCCCAGAGTGAGCCGGCCTGAAGCCGGAGCGGCAGCCCCAGCAGCGCCCCGCCCAGTCCCTTTCCCTTGCTGGGGATCCCCTTCTTCCCCGCCCACCCTTTACCCCCCATGCAGCCCAACGCCCTATGCTAGCCCTCCCCTTCTCCCCCCTTCAGGAGTGGGGCGCCGCCGGGGGAGGAGGGGGAGTCGGCTGCGGGTCCTTGGTGTTCTAGCACCCAGCTTCCCTCCAAGCCGGGTCGCGATGTACGACTGCATGGAATTGTTTGCCCCGGGTCCGCGACGGCTGTACGGAGCGGCCGGGCCCGGGGCCGGCTTGCTGCGCAGAGCCACCGGCAGCTCCTGTTTCGCAGGACTTGAGTCTTTTGCTTGGCCGCAACCCGCCAGTCTGCAATGTAGGTACTCGAGCTCCGGGATGGGTGGGTGAGGTGTAGGAGAGGGTGGGTTTATTCTTTCCGTGTGTAAAGAGCGAGCGAAGATTCTAGCCTTATTAATGTGAGGTACTGGCCCTTTAAATGTGGGGGCTTTAGCGTCTCCTTTGCGTGTGTGTAGTGTTTGGAGCGTGTGTAGATTTTTTGGTGGGCGTTTAGCTGGGACCTGTGCTTGGTGCCACGCCAGAGTTCTGGAGATAGGGAGAGACTGAGGTGCGTGGATAGTTAGCGCCCTCCGGTCCCTGGCCTCGGAGGGATACGGCAGTAGGGACTGCGGGTGGCGTTTGTGAAGTCCATGTGGAAGTTGCGAGTGTAAAAATTATTATTTGCAGAGCATGTGGATCCCTGGCGTGTGCAGAGGCCTACCTAGGTGGTGTGTGTGGGAGGAGAGGTCTCCTTACGCGCTGTCTCTCTCCGACTGCGTGGGCGGCCCCGCGTGGGGATGTTTGCGGCGTGAGGCCGGGAGGGCGTATGCCCCTGCGCGGCTGCGGGGGCGGCTCTGGAGAGGGCTGCGTCCAGTCCCGGAGTGCATCCTGCGTCTCTGCGTGTGGGGGCAAGGGCTCCCGCAGGAGAAATAGATATGTTTGGAAACCGTACCAGTCGGCTGTATTCGAGAGATGACCCCCACCCCCACCCCGCCATGGCTCCAACACACGACTTTAGCAGGAAGCTAAAAGTTTAAAGCAAAGCCTGTGTGTGGTGGTGGTGGGGTGGTCTGGAGTTGACAGCGGAGCGGGAGTGCGACTGCGGGGTCCCCAAATCTCCATCTTCCCCCTCTGTGAAATGGGAGATGCCAGGCCTGGGGCCCTGGAACCCCTTTGCAGGGCGGTAATAAAAAGCTGGGGACTGAAAGGCTGTAAAAATGAAGTCCAGATGAGAGGCGGCTTTGAAGCCTGGGCCGCAGTGTTTGGCGGGGGTGGGGTGTGGGGAGGGGCCAGGAGGGGGAGCCTGGGACACCCCCCAAATGTACCCGAGACTTGGACTGCGCTCCCAGCCCGGGTGCGGACTTCTGGGGACCGGGGCTCGGGGCACTCTGAGAAGGGGCGGGCGGCGGGCGCTGGGAGAGTGCGCACGCCGGGTCATAGAGCCCCCGCCGACGCGCCTCGCTCCTTGGCACTGGGCAGCGCTGTTTACAAGTTGGGGTTTTTTTTTCCCCTGGTCTTTTGGTTTCAGGGCAGAGCTGCTCGGATTTAACAACTCAGAGACTGGAAGAGGGAGGTGGCAAACAGGAGACCATACTTTGGGATGGGGTGGGGCAAGGAGTAAAGTGTGCTATTTCAAGGGTGGAGAAAGCATGGAACTTTTGCTTTGCACCAAATCCCTGTAGGATGGCGAATTGGTTTAGTTTAGTTTAGTTTTGTTTTGTTTCTGACGGGAGGGGCGGAGTGTTCTAAAATGGAGAGAATTTTCTAAAAGGGGTTTTGGGGGAAGCTGGTCAGGAACCATGTCCTTATGCAGGCCTATGGAAACCTCTTGGGCTTGACTGGCAGGGTATTTTTCGAACTTCAGTTTGGACCAGTAATTTTGGCCTCTAGGACGCTGGTGGGCACACACAGCCAGCTTCAGGCCTGTGCCCACGCATTTTCCAAGAGAAAGTGTTTAGGGAGGAGGGCAAGATGGTGTGTTTGTGCCTGCTTGGAGGCCGTGGTGTCCAGGGGCTGTGCCGGCAGGCTGTGATGTTTGTCTGGTGCTGGAGCTGTTCGCTGGTAAATGGGTAGCTAAGTGCTGGGCGTTGTGTGTCAGCTTTGTGACTTGTCCTCCAGCTCTAGGATGGCTGGAGTGAGTGTGCCCGACGCCCACCTGTGAGTCCCTCTGTGTCAGGGTGGCACCGGGGTTATCAGTGCTTCTATACCCTGTGCGTGCCGGCCTGTGGGACTGTGTGTGTCTCCTAGGTGTGTGCTAGACTGAGTCTGAGTCCAGGCTGCTCAGGTCTGGGCCTCGCAGCTGGGAGCGTTTACAGCCGGTTATAAAGAGTTTGTTTGAAGCTCCGCTCAGCCTGGCCAGGAATTTCCTCAATTTCAGCAATTTGGGCTTTAAAAGGAGAAACCCCCAGAGCCCACCCTCCTCCTCCACAGCAGGGGCCCCTGCCAAGCCCGGCGCTGCATCCCCTCGATGGAGTCTCTCTCTACCCAGGGCTGAAGAGGGTACTGGGTCTGGGATTGGATAAGACCCTGCTACCTTTACAGCGCCATCCACCCAAAGATTGAGCTGAGTCACTTGGCTGCACTTTAGGGTTCAGGGTGTGGGGGTGTGCCAGAGGGTTGTCAAGAATGGGTGACAGTACCACTTTAGATGAGAAAAGCTGCCCCTGGGCCTGTCTCCTTGGGGCCTCCAGTGTTATAATTGGCTAGCGCTGCCCCATGCCAGTCTGACCGCACCCAGGCCCTTGTGCAAGAGAGGAAATGAAGCAGCGCTCTGCGGGCAGGGAGGGCGTCAGAGTTGCAGAGAGCACCACCCCACACTTAGGCCTGTGAGCAGGACACAGATGCCCAGAGTGGGCCTGAGAATGGAGGAGAGGTCCTGAAAGGCATTCCAGCTCTCCCCACATCTCTTAGCACCAGCCCTGCTGGACGCTCCCACCTCCTGTCTTGAAGACTCCCGAACCCTTTTCCCCATCTCTCCTTTCAACGGAGAATCTTTCTCTGGCAGGATTCTTATGCTAATTGAGCAAGTGTGTGCTGGGGGCTGGGGAGGGCTTTCCTCCTGTAGGGTGGGTGGAGCTGTCATAGAACCCCCACCTCTGGGCAGTCTTTCACCCTTCTGACTTCCTTAGGGTGGGCTTGTGACCAGGTGGGCTGCAGAGGATTAGAAGGGAGGAGCTGTTGGTGAGGTATGCTTGTTGAACACTCCTTAGTGAGCTTCTTAAGAGATTTCTTGAAATAACTTGGGCCTTCCCGGTTTGGATGGCAAGTCCTACAGTTTAAATAATGTATGCACTGCTGAAACCTCTGAAGATCAGTCCCACAACTCACATAGGATTTACTTAGAAGCCTGCTGTATGCAGCATGTGTTGTCCAGGCCTACCTGAGACCCTTGTGAACAGAAGTCAGGTATTTTTCAGAGGCAATTCAGGAGTGAAGACTATCTCAGAGAGGGTCCAGAGCTAGGTCCCTTTCCCCACTGTCACCTGACTCTCCAGTTTGCCACCTTCTGAACAGGTTCTAGACCTGAGAACCTGAGCAACTACCTCAGTCTCCCTCCCCCTCAGCCCTTGTCTTCCACAGCCACTGAAGTCTGGTCACAGGACCTAAGAGCCTTGGCTCCACCATCAGCTGGCAATGTGGCCCTGAGCCTGGCATGGCCCCTGCTTTGGCCTCAGTTCCTTCAGGTGTGAAGTTAGGCTGGTGCCTGTCCTCTGGCTTCCTCTCCCGAAACATGTGCCCCATGTTCTACACTGTCTCCGTTGCTTCTGGAGAAAAGGATTTGGGTGGTTATGGGGGGGGGGGCGGGCACGGGTACTGGTTTGAGAAAGAAAAGATGGTGGATTATTTCTCCTGTATCACTTCAGAGAAATGAGGTCCTATTCTACCTGGTGAATATTGCTGTATTTAATTCAGCCAGCTGCCAGCTGCAAGTGGTCTGCAGTTACCCTATGCATCCCACATCTGTTTCACCCTTCCCAAGGGTGGTGGGAGGCTGACTGCCTGACAGGCATCTGCCAGAGTCACAGAGAGTGATGAGGAGGATTCAGAGGTGCTGGACCCTAACCCTTCCACCACATTCACTTTATAGTTGGGGAAACTGAGGTCTACAAGAGTTAACTTGCAGAATAGCCTTGGTCTGGAATTTGGAGATGTGAACTGTGCCATACAGAGCTAGGGCTGGCATTATTGTGGAAAGTTGGTCAGGCCGTGGTGTGGGGTGGGCTTGGGACCCCAATGAGCTGCAGTGACAGTGGCTACCTGGGACTTCCTGAGGTTGTCCACTGAGGACTGGTGCACTGTGGAGGCTTTCATCAGTGGGCCAGAGGGAGAAGTGGGGGGTGTGTGATAAGGGGTTTGTGAGGGGCTTTCCTGACCCTCACACCACTGCTTCCCCTGCAGCTGTGGAGACACAGAGCACAAGCTCAGAGGAGATGGTTCCGAGCTCAGAGGAGATGGTTCCCAGCTCGCCTTCGCCCCCACCGCCTCCTCGGGTCTACAAGCCATGCTTTGTGTGCAATGACAAGTCCTCTGGTTACCACTATGGGGTCAGCTCATGTGAAGGCTGCAAGGTGTGTAATGGTGGGGTGGGTAGATTGGGGACCTGGGATTACTTGGGGAAGATCAGAAATCAGGAACACAGGTGCTGTGTGAGGACCTGGAGGGGGGGTCCCTGGCACATAAAGTGATTAATAGATGGGGACAGGCCTGAGGGGACCTGTATGGCCCGTGAAAGGTTGGTATTCCCAGCATCTTGCTTCATGACATTCCACCTACCCCCCCCCCCAACTCCAGGGCTTCTTCCGACGTAGCATCCAGAAGAACATGGTGTACACATGTCATCGAGATAAAAACTGTATCATCAACAAGGTGACCAGGAATCGCTGCCAGTACTGCCGGTTACAAAAGTGCTTTGAAGTGGGCATGTCCAAGGAAGGTAGGCTCCTTTAGCTGATCTGGGCAGAAGCACTCCGTCCTACCCTGTGGTTGTCTGTCTTCCCTCTGGCTACCCCTAATTCTCTGACTTCTGAGACCTAGCCTGCCCTGGGGTGCTGTCTCCTCCCAGACCAGTCCTATTTGACTAGCTCCATTCAACCAGGAGGCCCCACCCTTTTCCATTCTACCCACTCCTCTGAAGGAGTGAATGGAGGTTAGAGTTTCACATTCCCTTGTTTCACGGGGCAGGAGGGTGGACTTGCCAGTTCCCTCCCCTCCCCTGTTCCCAGCACTCAGCCTGAGATGGATCTGGGGTGGCCTCTCCTTTCTACCACCCCCCCCCTCATTGTGCTGCCAAGGCTATAAGTGGATATCCTGCCCCTGCATATCCTGCCCCCCTCTCCCCAGCTCCTGCAGGGTGACAGGAAGGGCAGGATGGAGCCGAATGGCCTGAGGAGGGAGCAGGGGCTGCAAGCCCTGGGTGGGGCTAGGGAGAGCCAGCCTGGGAATAGGACCTAAAGTAGGAGATAGGGGAACTGAGGCACTGTCCATTGAGAGCTGGTGCTCTGGTGTGAGGGAATAGATACTTATGGCAAAGACTGAGCACATTAAGCTAGGGTGAGAGAGGACATTGAAAGGGAGGCTCCCTGGGTCTTGACCTTCTCCTTGTGCCTCCACCCCCAAGCTGTACGGAATGACAGGAACAAGAAGAAGAAAGAGGTGAAGGAAGAAGGGTCACCTGACAGCTATGAGCTGAGCCCACAATTAGAAGAGCTCATCACCAAAGTCAGCAAAGCCCATCAGGAGACCTTCCCCTCACTCTGCCAGCTGGGCAAGTATACCACGGTGAGGAATGAGCAGAGCCCCACTGAGGGCAGAGGACTTTCCCCTTCAGGACTGGGCAGGGGCTATGTTGGAGCCTGTGATCTGGTGCTGAGGACAAGGAAGGCATCAGCATGGAGAGGAGAGCCTGGGGTATTGGCAGAGAGGAGAGCTCCAGGGTGGCCTTCCTTTGTATTCTAACCTCAGGTCCTTCTTCCCTGCAGAACTCCAGTGCCGATCACCGTGTACAGCTGGATCTGGGGCTGTGGGACAAATTCAGTGAGCTGGCCACCAAGTGCATCATCAAGATCGTAGAGTTTGCTAAGCGGTTGCCTGGCTTTACAGGGCTCAGCATTGCTGACCAAATCACTCTGCTCAAGGCTGCCTGCCTCGACATCCTGGTAAGTTAGGCTATATGGGTCCTGCCACAGCCTGGCTTTCATATGTGACTCCGTCCCCAAAACCCTTCAACCATCTGAGACTCCCCCCATCTCTACTCAAGCTTTTTTGTTTTAGCCCTTGCCCCCAGATCCTGATCCTAGACTTTGTGTGTGTGTGGGGGGTATTGGGGATTGAACCTAGAACCTTTGCACTGAGGTACATCCTCAAACCCTTTTTTAGTTTTTATTTTTGAGACAGGCTCTTGATAAGTGGCTAAGTTGCCTAGGCTGGGCTTGAAATTTTTTTTTTTTTGGTACCGGAGATCGAACTTGTGACCTTGCACTTGATGGAACCATTGAGCTAAATCCCCAGCGCTAGGCTTGAAATTTTGATCCTCCTGCCTCAGCCTTCCAGAGTGCTGGGAGGTGTGCAACATCACAGCTGTCCTGATTCTAAACTTCTGGACCCCTTGCTTTACCCTAATTTCTGTCCCCCACCTCCAGATCTTCTGCCTTCCTCCCCAGGCCTGCTTCAGGTTGTATTTATTGGGACCTAACTTCCTCACTAGCTTTTTAGTCCCTCTTTCCTCCTCCCCATATGAGCTCCTCCCAGAGACAACACTAACTTTCTTCCCACCCCCAGATGCTGCGGATCTGCACAAGGTACACCCCAGAGCAGGACACCATGACCTTCTCTGATGGCCTGACCCTGAACCGGACCCAGATGCACAATGCTGGCTTTGGGCCGCTCACAGACCTCGTCTTTGCCTTTGCTGAGCAGTTGTTGCCACTGGAGATGGATGACACAGAGACTGGGCTGCTCAGTGCCATCTGCCTCATCTGTGGAGGTGTGAGGACGCCCCCTAGTGTCTGTTTGGGCTCCTTTCCCATCACACTCCACACCTGATCTCTGACCAGGTCTGGGACCTTGGTCTTGTCTCCTGGGATTGTTGCACCAGGCACCAGCCACAGACTTCTCAGATCTTGTACAGGCTTCCCAGCAGCCTAGAACATAGGACTGAAAAAGGGGAGCAGAGCTGGGGGAGTTGAAGAGATGCTGGTACTAGTGTTGAGATAGGAGTAATTTACCAGAGAAAGCCACTTGCTGAATGGGAGAGGGTATAGGGCTTAGAGTAGGGGACATAGCCTGATGGGGCTCAGGGATAATAGAGAAGGGGCTGATAGGACAGTTTGGGGCCTGGGGGCTCATAGGACAGGGACCATTGGGGATCAGCCACCTGTCTCTGTGTCCTGGCCCTCTCACACCGCTGTGCTTGTGCCCATAGACCGCATGGACCTAGAGGAACCTGAGAAGGTAGACAAGCTTCAGGAGCCACTGCTGGAAGCCTTGAGGTTATATGCCCGGCGCCGGCGCCCCAGCCAGCCCTACATGTTCCCAAGGATGCTCATGAAGATCACCGACCTCCGAGGCATCAGCACCAAGGGTTAGTCATGAGTGAGCCTTCCCTCTCTGTCTTCCCAGGGCTGCAGGTCTTCTGGGCCACACAGGTGGACAAGCAGAGACAGGAACAATATGACTGAGAACCAGGTGACCTACACTGCAGATCTAGTTTGACCTCATCCTAGTCGGGAGACTTTGAGAAATTCCTTTCCTTTTTTATACCTCATTTTCCTGTTTGTAAACTGGGTTCCACTTATTCTTGTCCCATATACTAGTTGTGAGGACTAAATGAGTCCATACACAATGTGCTTAGAAATGTGAATTAGCCACACATGGTAGTACATGGAGGATCAAAAGTTTCAAGCCCCCCCCCCC